TGACGTACACCGCTCCCCATCACCTGAAACTGTCACCTGACAGACACCAATGACCTTCACCACCTTTCACACTGTTCTCCTCCTCTGTCACCTGACACAACCCGCTGTCCTCTTAAAGAGTCTTCTGTCACCGGGCATATCACAGCACCCTGTGTTAGACCGCATACCAGACCACTTCCTCCCTGATATTGATCACCTCCCGATACCGCAGATCATTTCCTGTTGTGTTTATTGATACATTTGTGTGATTGATTTCCAGACATGGATCCAGATGACAGAAACAGCTTGAAAAAGGACAAAGTTGCCATGGTGAGCTATTACTTCCCCTCAGCCAGCAACCTGTCGTATTGAAGGATCAATGAACCCAGGAGCACACACAGAGGAGTCCCGAGGCTGGGTGGCACCTGGAGCGGTTACCGGGTGTCACCCCGCCAAGACGTCATCACGCACGCGCGGCGATCTTCTGATACCTGCTGGCGGCCATCTTGGTGATGGACGCCAGCAGAGAGAGGTGGGGGACAGTCACCCGGCGGGATTAGGTATGCCCCCGGGTCCCCTCAGTCAGACATACCTTATCCCGTCGGGTGACTGTCCCCTCCTCTCTCTGCCGGCATCCATCACCAAGATGGCCGCCAGCAGGTATCAGAAGAGTGCCGCGCGTGCATGTGCACTCAGAAGTCCTGACTGTCTCTAAATTCACGTGTCCCTCAATGGGGGAGAAATATAATGCTATTTTCCTACCCACCATGAAGTCTATTTTGGGTTCTTTGATGGACGGCGGTCCCGCCCCTCCATGTCTAAGGCCACGCTCCTTGTACTGCTTTCCATGCCAAACAGAAAACATAATGGGGGGCCGGCTTACGATCTTTCATTTCGCCAGTGCCCAGTCCTCCTGTAGGTGGCAGTATAACCCTGCCGTATCTGAATTCCCGTGCCCCTCGATGAACCCCCAAGGACGGGTCAGAAGCCCCATTCCCTCAGCTGGATGCTCATCTCTTCGAGCGTCTGTTAATATTAATACAACGTGTCTTGTTTTCCAGAATGTCATCAACAAGCTGAAGAAGGACAGAGACACGCCGAAGGTAATTGCGCAATATTGTTACAGTAATAGAAGCGGATTGCGAATCATACGGCGTGACTGTGAATCATATCTGGCTGGATCTTTGCATAAAGACTATTGTACCATGCGGGGGGGGGGAGGGGAGAACTGCTTAAAGGGAACCCGTCATGAGAGTTATACATAGAATGTCACTGTTGGCTTCCCTCTGAAAGGTGCTTGGCTGTCATGCTGATCCTCTGGCTTATAGTGGGCTGTGGGCTGGATACAAAGTACTAAATCCAGCTAACTGGTAGATAGTAAGCTCTTTAGGGGCCACACCGTTCCTTTCTCGTGTGGGTAATCCTGGTTGCCACAGCACATAGAGTTTTCAATGGTGTGGGGAAGAGTTAGAACCCCTGCCATATTTTTAAAGGAGAACTATGGGGTTAAGGCTTTTCCCCATAGTTCTCCTTAGGGTCACGGGAGGACACAAACTAGCGTCCTGCCGTCACCCTAGGCTCAGTATATAGGGAGCTACTGCTATTACTGCTACTGCGGATCCAGACAATTGTGCCGGGATCCGCCCAGCTGCGTGAGTGACAGCTGGCACTGGTTATCTAGAGGCAGAGCCAGCTGTACCCGTCCCCCTCCCCCGTCCGCTCCACCAGTCAGCGCTGGCGGAGCGGGGAGAGGGGAATCCAGCCCCTCCCCTGTCATGGCAGAAACTTCCTGTCCTGATGACACAACAGGAAGTGAGGGTAAGTTTCCCCAACGGGGGTTTCCTGTCTTCCTCGATTCTATTGTAGTTCCTGTGCTGGATAATGGTTTATGTTAAATGGCATCACCTGCCTTATCGCCTCCCACTGACGCATTTCTCCCCCTGACGCATTTCTCCCTCTATTGAGGAATACAAGAAGTCCATTGCACTCCATGCAACATTCAGACCCGGTCATTGAGGGGGGTGATATGATGAAATGGTGGATGGCACCACCACAACATCCCAATACAAGGCGACACCATCACGCCATGCTCAGATGAGGAGACAGGAGACTTTATGGTCACCAACAGGAAGTGACGTTTCCAGGCGACTAAGGACGGCGATAACAACAGAATTTGTTCTGGATTCATCTTACTTTGTCACGTTTGGCTAAACCCATTTGCCGTGGAGGCGGAGCCTCCAAAGCCTCCTGTGCCAATTCTGATTTTGTGAAGCTTGATATTAGCTTTATATTTATAATATGGATGGTAAGTTCCGGCACGTCATTGAGCCCTCTTTCTACCAGCTAGGTAACGTCCCGGCACCTCATTGTACCTCCTTTCTACCAGCTAGGTAACGTCCCGGCACCTCATTGTACCTCCTTTCTACCAGCTAGGTTCAGTTCCGGCACCTCATTGTGCCTCCTGTCTACCAGCTAGGATAAGTTCCGGCACCTCATTGTGCCTCCTGTCTACCAGCTAGGTTCAGTTCCGGCACCTCATTGTGCCTCCTTTCTACCAGCTAGGTTCAGTTCCGGCACCTCATTGTGCCTCCTTTCTACCAGCTAGGTTCAGTTCCGGCACCTCATTGTGCCTCCTTTCTACCAGCTAGGTTCAGTTCCGGCACCTCATTGTGCCTCCTTTCTACCAGCTAGGTTCAGTTCCGGCACCTCATTGTGCCTCCTTTCTACCAGCTAGGTTCAGTTCCGGCACCTCATTGTGCCTCCTTTCTACCAGCTAGGTTCAGTTCCGGCACCTCATTGTGCCTCCTTTCTACCAGCTAGGTTCAGTTCCGGCACCTCATTGTGCCTCCTTTCTACCAGCTAGGTTCAGTTCCGGCACCTCATTGTGCCTCCTTTCTACCAGCTAGGTTCAGTTCCGGCACCTCATTGTGCCTCCTTTCTACCAGCTAGGTTCAGTTCCGGCACCTCATTGTGCCTCCTTTCTACCAGCTAGGTTCAGTTCCGGCACCTCATTGTGCCTCCTTTCTACCAGCTAGGTTCAGTTCCGGCACCTCATTGTGCCTCCTTTCTACCAGCTAGGTTCAGTTCCGGCACCTCATTGTGCCTCCTTTCTACCAGCTAGGTTCAGTTCCGGCACCTCATTGTGCCTCCTTTCTACCAGCTAGGTTCAGTTCCGGCACCTCATTGTGCCTCCTTTCTACCAGCTAGGTTCAGTTCCGGCACCTCATTGTGCCTCCTTTCTACCAGCTAGGTTCAGTTCCGGCACCTCATTGTGCCTCCTTTCTACCAGCTAGGTTCAGTTCCGGCACCTCATTGTGCCTCCTTTCTACCAGCTAGGTTCAGTTCCGGCACCTCATTGTGCCTCCTTTCTACCAGCTAGGTTCAGTTCCGGCACCTCATTGTGCCTCCTTTCTACCAGCTAGGTTCAGTTCCGGCACCTCATTGTGCCTCCTTTCTACCAGCTAGGTTCAGTTCCGGCACCTCATTGTGCCTCCTGTCTACCGGCTAGGTTAAGTTCCGGCACCTCATTGTGCCTCCTTTCTACCGGCTAGGTTAAGTTCCGGCACCTCATTGTACCTCCTTTCTACCGGCTAGGTTAAGTTCCGGCACCTCATTGTGCCTCCTGTCTACCGGCTAGGTTAAGTTCTGGCACCTCATTGTGCCTCCTGTCTACCAGCGAGGTTCAGTTCCGGCACCTCATTGTGCCTCCTGTCTACCAGCTAGGTTCAGTTCCGGCACCTCATTGTGCCTCCTGTCTACCAGCTAGGTTATGATCCGGCACGTCCCTGTGCAAACTGCCTACTAGCTAGGTAACGTCCCGACACATCATTGTGCCTCCTTTCTACCAGCTAGGTTCAGTTCCGGCACCTCATTGTGCCTCCTTTCTACCACCTAGGTAATGTCCCGGCACCTCATTGTGCCTTCAGTCTACCAGCGAGGTTCAGTTCCGGCACCTCATTGTGCCTTCTGTCTACCAGCTAGGTTCAGTTCCGGCACCTCATCGTGCCTCCTGTCTACCAGCGAGGTTCAGTTCCGGCACCTCATTGTGCCTTCTGTCTACCAGCTAGGATAAGTTCCGGCACCTCATTGTACCTCCTTTCTACCACCTAGGTAATGTCCCGGCACCTCATTGTGCCTTCAGTCTACCAGCTAGGTTCAGTTCCAGCTTTTTATTCAGATCCTGTAATAAACCGAAGCAGTTACAACTGAGATGTAATAAAACGATGCATAAACATATGGAAATGATCTGCAGATCGGGGACTATATGCAAATCTCTTTTTTTCTTGTAAAGAGTCAAGCTTGGCCGTGCACCTCTCATCTCCTTTATTGGTTGTTATTTTGCTTCAGTGACCAATAGGTGGGCCCGGGGGGAGGGGCGGGGCCAAGCTTGACTTTCCAGGAAGTGGACATTTGCATACACTTGTGATGGTTCACACTCCTGCATCTAGTCTCGTTTTTTATGCATACTTACATTGAATGTTTCGGTTTCATGGTTCTCATCCACGATGTGTGACAATTATTGACAACTTCACTCTATCACCTGCCCATAGCACCGCCCACACAGGACCCCTAATGGGTTTCCTGAGGGACCTGGAAAGGATCCCTACAGTAAGACATTGTAGGCACTTCACTTGGATATTACGTCTCATTACAGTAATACCGGAAGCGATGTGTGGCTCACGTCTTGTGCCGGGCCTCAGCAGCTGCCGCTTGTGGGAGGTGCCGGTGCAGCATATGAATGGTCTCAAATGCGCATTGGCGTATCCAGTGCAATGAATCATGGGAGATGTAGTCTGTTTAGAGCAGTGCACGTGACACACATGCATTGCTCTATCGCGAAACTGGACGCTTGGAGCAAAGCTCTTCATTGACAGCGCAGTGGGAAGGGGCTCAATTGCCCGGGATGAAGGTAAATAAACATTGTTTTGGAGTTGAGGGGTTCCTTTTATATTTCTAATGCTCAATTCCAAAACTAACATGAGGGTTTAGTGCTATCTGTTAGGCCAGGGGACACATGACCCCTGAAAACCTGTCCATGCTTATCTCTTGTGTGTCTTTCTGGTGTTTCTCCAAGTACTGAGAAGATCTTTGTGTCTTTTTTTTCTGGCAGGACCTGAGCACAGACAGAGACATACAGGTACGGATTATGGCTTTATAATAACCAGATATGATTTAAAGGGGATCTCCACCAAATATGAGCAGTGCCACAGAGAGGAGAGCCCCCACCGTGTGCGGGGCCACCTGACATCGGATCTTCTCCATTCAAGACAAAGATGGTTTTTCGATAAGGGAAAACAAGAAGATTCAAAAACATCGGTTTAAAAGTATATAAGCCCACAAAAAGAAAGTAGAATTGACCCAAAACTGGTACAGTTTGCAACAAGCTTCCACGGGTTCCCCAATTGCATGTTGGGAAGGGTCGGAACCTCCATTAGATTTGTTTTATCGCTATTCTTGTGGCCACTGAGAAGGTTTTTCTTCACTTCCAGCGTACCAGATAGAGAAGAAGTGAGCGGAATCTTTCCAATGTTGACCCTGATGGCACTAAAAACTCAACAGAGGTTGTAACTAGGGCTATACCGATACTAGTATTGGTGCCGAAACCGAGTATTTGGGCGAGTGCTCGTACTCGCCCAAGTGCTCCGATACTTACCTCCGATACCGGAACTTCTGGTCAGAGAGAGATCTCCCTCTGACCACAAGTGCCGAGGGAGCATGGAGCTGGCTTCCAGATTGGCTAGTAAGCTGGCTTCACTTGTTGCTAGGCAGCCTGGCTTCCTAACCAATCAGGAAGCCGGGCAGCACATAATGACCCACCTCCCGGCTTCCTGATTGGTCAGGAAGCCAGGCAACAAGTGAAGCCGGCTCCCTAGCCAATCATGAAGCCGAGCGCCACGTCATGACTCGCGTCGTGGCTTCCTGATTGGTCAGGAAGCCACGCTACCTAGCAACAACTGGCGCGGGCTTCCTAGCCAATCAGGGAGACGGGCCATGACGTGCCGCCCGGCTTCGTGATTGGCTTGGAAGCAGGCTTCACTTGTCGGCAAGCAGCACATCCTGATACGCGTCCCGGCTTCCTGATTGCTCAGGCTCCCTCGGCGGG